CAATGAAGGTGGGATCGTGAGACAAGAGACCAACCAAGCACGTGGCGAAGCAGCATAGAATGACCGACAAGATGGCCAGCAGCACCTCGCACCTTTCAACCAGGCTGCCGAGGATTGGGAATCCTACATTGACCGATTCCTAATGTTCCTCGAGAGCAGCAATCTAAAAGATGCCAACGGACAGAAAAAAAGGGCTGTGTTCCTGACACACTGCGGGCCCACAGTGTTCAAGATGGCTAAGGCCCTAGCCAAACCCGCCAACATAAATGAGATGGACTGGGCTGACCTCGAACCGTTGCTGCAGCACCATTATGCCCCCGCCGTGCCCAATCTCATCAGAAGGTACGAGTTTTACCGGCGGGACCAGAAAGAGGGCGAGAGCATCAGCGACTTCGTGGCCACGCTGAGGGACCTCGGAGGCATGTGCGGGTTCACCGACATGGACGAGGCCCTACGAGACCGCGTGATCCTCGGGCTCAGGGACCCCATTCTGCAGAGCCGGCTAATGGCGAGGACAGACATCTCCGTCACCGAGGCCATCGCCGAGGCAACTGCATCTGAAGTGGCCAAGCAGTCGGTGGCTCAGATGCGGCAGATGAACATAGTGGACCGGCCAGCAGCCATTGAAACGACCCTGGCACCGGAGAAGCACGCGGAAGCCAGTCCCAGGACGACCACCACCACCCACCATGGCGACGTCGACTCCCTCTCTGACACCGAGGATGACGAGAAAGAAATCCACCGACTCCAGGCAGAACGCGACCGGCGGGAATGGAGAGGACGTAAGTCGGGGTTCCAATGTGCCGGCTGTGGAGGCGACCACCCCCACTCTGAATGCCGATTCCTCGACGCTATCTGTCGGCATTGCGACAAGTGGGGGCACATCGCCAAGGTATGCCGAATAAGTGGAACCACAGCCCCCGGTGCCGAGATGGCAGCCCCCGGCGACGAGACGGCACCCCCCCAGGACCAGAGACCGCCACACCGAGAGCCGGTGGAGCCAGGACGGCCGGAGCAAGCGGCTCAGTGAGGCGCGGCGGAGAGAGGAGACCCATTAGATGGTCATCATCAGCCACTCCTTGACCATCGACGCCCGGAAGGTACACATGGAGGTAGGCATCGAGGACCAACCATGCGAGATGGAGGTGGATTCCGGATCCTACCTCTCCATAGTTTCCTGGCGCACAATCAAGCGCCTGGTGCCTACCATCCACTGGCACGAGCTGGAAAATCAAAAGCTGACCCTGAAGGACTATCAGGGAAACCGCATCCCTGTGGTCAGCATTGGACACTTCAAAATAACATTTAAGGGCCACACTGAGGTACTTCCGCTCACCATCATAGACAAGGACTGCCCAAGCTTGCTGGGACTGCAATGGTTCGCACCACTGGGCATCGAGGTGACAGGCGTCAACCACGTTGCCGAGGCGGACTGGGAAGCAACACTTGTGAGGGACTTCCAAAAGGTCTTCGACAGCGACCTAGGCAAGTACCGGTGGTCCCTGATCTCTTTCAATCTAGACCCAAACGTTGCCCCAATCCGCCTTAAACCACGCGCTCAAGCCCAAGATCGATGAGCAATTGGACAAGCTCATTGCGCAAGGGGTTTTAGAGCTGATTGACCATGCCAGGTGGGAGACCCCCATAGTCACCCCGATCAAGCCGGATGGGTCCGTGAGGACCTGTGGTGACTACAAGGCCACCCTCAACCACGCGCTGCAGCAGAGTGCCTACCCCGTCCCAGTGGTACAGCACCTTCTGCACTCACTGGGGGGAGGCCGGATCTTCGCAAAGCTCGACCTGGCACAAGCATACCAGCAGCTGCCGGTTGATGCTGAAACTGCAGAGGCGCAAACCATCGTAACCCACCAAGGGGCATTCCGATGCAAGAGACTCCGATTCGGAGTAGCGTGGCACCAGGGGTCTTTCAGAGCCTAATTGAAAGGCTACTCCAAGGGATCAAAGGGGTGGTGCCCTATTTTGACGACGTGCTGGTGTCAGCTACCAATAAAACTCAATTGGAAAGCCGCCTAAGGGAGGTGCTACAAAAATTCAAAGACTCTGGGCTAAAAGTTAAGAAAGAAAAATGTCAGCTGTACACCGAAAAAGTTGAATTCCTGGGATACCTCCTAGACAAGCATGGCATCCACCCCACCGAGAAAAAGCTGAGAGCCATCAAAGAAGCCCCTAGACCAAGAAACAAGATGAAACTGCAGGCTTTTCTTGGGCTAATTAACTTTTATAATGTTTTCCTGCCCCAAAAGGCGACCGCGGCGGAACCTTTGCATAGGCTGTTGGACAAAACAGCCATCTGGACCTGGGGGAAGCGGGAGGAAAATGCCTTCGAACAAACAAAAAACCTACTAACATCAGACGCAGTCCTTATCCAATACAGCGAGACCCTGCCATTGACCGTGACATGCAACGCGTCACCCTTCGGCGTTGGGGCCATCCTCAGCCACACGCTACCGGACGGGAAAGAAGCACCCATCGCCTTTTTTTCGAGAACACTATCCAAACCAGAAAGAAACTACAGCCAGCTGGACAAGGAGGCCCTAGCAGTCATCACCGGCGTGAAGAGGTTCCACGAGTACCTCTACGGTAGGACATTTTAAATTATTACCGACCACAAGCCGCTGCTAGGGATACTGGCAGGGAACAAGGCCACCCCAAACATACTGTCACCTAGGATGACAAGGTGGTCCGAGTTCCTTGCTGCTTACAGCTACCAGCTGACACACCGGCCCGGCAAGAACATCTCGCATGTGGACGTGTTGAGCCGGACCCCCCTGCCCAACCTGGAGGACAACCCGGCACCCACAGCAGCAACCCTGCACATAGAGACATTACCCAACCCACCCCTGACCGCGTCAGACATTGCCAGAGAAACTAATAAAGACAAGCGGCTGGCGCGAGTCTTGAGCTGGGTGGAAAAAGGGTGGCCAGAAAGCAACAGCAACGAACAATTTAAAACCTTCCGGAGCCGGCAAACTGAACTCTTTATGCAAAAAGGTTGCATACTTTGGGGGGGCAGGGTTGTGATTCCAGAGACTTTACAAAAGAGGGTATTATCTATGCTGCATGAGGGGCACCCGGGCATCGTCAAAATGAAAGCCCTGGCCCGGAGTTATGCCTGGTGGCCGGGAATGGACAAACAGATTGAGAACTGGGTAGCCGCATGTAAGAGATGCCAGGAAACCAGACCAAGCCCGCCCGCCACCCCAATCCTGGAATAGGAAACACCCAGGGGCCCCTGGTCTAGAATCCATATAGATTTTGCCGGGCCTACAAAGGGACACACATTTCTGATCACAGTCGACGCTTACTCCAACTGGCTGGAGGTAAGCACGATGAAAGCCACAACCACAGAGGCCGTCATCAAAAAACTAAACAAACTTTTCACCACCCATGGGTTACCAGATGTGCTAGTGTCGGACAACGGCCCACAATTCACCGCACTAGCCTTTGAAAAATTCCTGGCAGAATGGGGCATACGGCATGCGTTGACAGCACCTGCTCATCTGGCGGCGAACGGGCAGGCGGAACGCATGGTGTTACACAAAAAACACCAAACAGAAAATAGGAACCGGAGATATACAAGAAAAAATAAATAAAATGCTTTTAATACAACACATAACACCTAACACAACCACCAACAAGAGCCCAGCAGAATTACTCATGGGCAGAAAACTAAGATCCCCATTAGACAGACTACACCCCACATACAACCCCGAGAAACCCCCAGACTCATCAAGCAAACATCGAGCATTCAACATAGGAGACACCGTCTATGCCAAAAAATTTACAGGGGACCCACTCTGGGTACCGGCAAGAATAACCCAGGTAACGGGCCCCCGGTCCTACCAACTACAAACCAATGACGGACGAGGCTGGAAGCGGCACATCGACCAACTAAGGTCAAGAACAGCCACCGACAGCACCAACAGCACGCAAACACCGCAAACAACGACTAATAAAGAAACCGGGGGGGGGGAACCCCAAACAATAAACAAAGAGGAGAAGGAAATCCTAAAACGCAAACAGAACACCCCCCCAAGCAAAAATAAACCAGCCTTACTCACCGGTAAACGACGAACCCGTAGCAGACAAGCAACCGGGAGCTTCACCTGGAAGGAGCAGCCAAGCCAGTTCAACCAGCCCGGAAAGACCAGGCGGGAACAGCGGAATCGGCAGCTCAACCGACCCGGGTAGACCAGGTGGGAGCTACCACAGTAGGCCCGGCTCACCCTTCCAGGCAGTTCCATCCAGGGGAACCAGAGCGACGAGGAGTTCATCCGAACCGGTCGAGGACCAAGCAGCAACTGAGCCGCGCAGGTCAACTAGGCAGATGCGAAGCCCCGCCTACCTACGCGACTATGTAACCACGTTCCGTCGGACCGAACCAAGAGGGGAGGGGTGTTCTATATTAGCATACTCCAAAACCTGAATCCTGATTGGTCCACATGGACCGCAACCCGATTGGTCAACTGAACGGCCGTGATTGGCGCGCTGAGAATCAACCACGATTGGCCGAGCTGATCACGGGAGATTCAAAGCCACGAGCAATTCCTATATGAAGGGCTGCTGCGGCTCCAAGATCTTGAACAGGTCTATATACCAAATAAAGAGCTGAATGTACACTTTTGGTCTCGCGTCTCTGTGGGAACCGATCTACCCGATCTAACAGTCAGTATTGGGCAATGAATAAAATAATCAAGTTTTTTTTGTTTATTTAAAATTGTTAGAACCTCTAGATCTCAACAGCAATTGCCTCTTTAATCTTGAGCTGAAATGAACATTTCTTGTTGATTATCAGGCTCTTTAAATGTGAGAGAAATTTATTGATGTTGGCCTTACCAAAGGACAACTGTTCATTTTTAATCATCTTTCCAGCCCACTCAGCCCATCTCTTGTCTTCACTTAAGGATTGAGAGCCCTCTTTAAATTAGCTGCAAAAAGACATTTATGCATACATGTAAATTGCATTTTACTTCTCTAGTATTATATTTGAGACAGTAGGTTAGAGAATAGTGGCAGGATGAAAAATTAAATGAAATATTCAACAGATTTTCAAAAATACTTACTCATTTTCTGGAAGAAATAATTCTGTCTCTCCACGATACAGAATTGCAGAACCTTTGACAAAGAGGTATTTCAAATTCAGGCAGTGTTGTATACAATAGCCCAAAATCATCAGTTCCATATCTGAGTTGCACTGATAATCTATTTTAGTGATACCACATATTGCATTTTTTATAAAATTGTCATCCTGTGTCTCATATAAATAACTCAACATTTCTTTTTGCAATTGGAAATTAGGTCTCCTTTTTGGAATACTATCTTTTATACAGTCTAATAAGAATTCTTTAATCTTAGGAGAAATTTCCCATCCAAATTCTTCTTTCAACTCTTTCATTCTTTTTTCTTTATGTAAAAAACCAAAGAGGAAGCGAAATCCTACTGCAAAATCAGGCCTAAAAGATTTATGTCTTTTTAATAGCATCTGCAAATTTTTATTCCAATTTTCAGAATGCAGTTCCTCTCTTTCTTCTAGAATATAAAACAAAGCAGCAAAAAACTCCTGGAAGCTTAAGTGAACAAAACTGTATCTTTTAATACAACCAATGCCCCTTTTGAAGATGCTTTCATTCAGAAAAAGGGAGAGGAAGTCTCTCTGATTTAAAGTGACTTCTTCTTCCATAAACAATGTTTTCTGTTTCCAGACTCCTTCTACAGCCAAAGAGCATAAACCTTTCACACTTGATTGGACATCCTGTTTGGCTTCTTTATGGTGATACTTTAACAAACTGGAGAAATACAGTATATAGATTGCAGTGAGAGTATATGGTGTCTTCTGAAGATCCTTGCCACTTTCCATCTCCTGTTTCATCACTGTACAAATGATCCAGCTCACAAGGGGAATGACACACATGGTGAAAAGGGTATCGTTTTGTTTAACAAATCTGAGAGCTTGAGATGCTTGGTCTTTGTTTTCAAAAAACTTGTAGAAATATTCTTGTCTCTCCTTCGTGGAAAACCCCAATATTTCAACATTACGTGGGCACTTTAAATATTGATGGAGTTTCTCCAAAGCAGTTGGTCTTGTTGTGATTATAAGAGAGGATTTAGGAAGAAGCTTTTTTCTAAATAAACTGCTCAAAAGAATTCTCACTGGCTTCTTCTTCCAGGGATCAATGCAAACGTAGTTTTCAGGCTGATCAAAGGAATACCTTAATTCATCAAACCCATCAATTATGAACAGAAGCTTCTCTTCATCCTTCAATATGTTTTGAATAACATTTTTGGATTCATGACACTTGAGCCATTCTTCTGAAATTATCTCTGCAATGCTACTCTCCTCTGACTCTGCATGGACATTCATCTTTCTACAGCAAATATAGAAAACATAATTAAATTTGTCCTGGTAAAGTAGTTGAGAAGCCCAATCAAATATAATTTTTTTGGTCATTATGGTTTTTCCAATTCCTGCAGCTCCCTGTAACACAACAACTTGTGGAATTAATCCATTTTTATCAGGGTTAAATAATGCTTCAATGCTGGTTGAAGACTCAGCTCGTTTACTGATGATTTCAAGATGTTTCCTTCCCATTGCCAGAATTTCATCTTCTCTCTCCTCTTCAGATGGGTGATAATCTACGATGATTAGCTTTGAGTATCTCTGGTTGAGGGACACATATTCACCAAGAAGAGCATTAGGATCCTTGATTATTGCAAAATTATCTTTAATGTAGCTTCTGTATTCTAAAGAAAGAATGAATGAAATTAGAAGTGAGAAAAATAAAGACTGCACAAGACACGTAGATAAAGTGTTTTGTCTGTGTACCTTCTCCTTGAAGCCACCCCCCCCCCCCCCCCCCCCCCGGATTAATGTGTTGAGAGAAGTTGTAGGCAAATACTTGTTAATACATTAA